TATATATATATATTCAAGTACAAAGGCCACATTTCATCTCATATTCAACGCATACAATAAGGATTCTAATAAATAACAAAGTAGAACTCTCTTTAGCCAACTGCCATAAGAATAAATTAACACATGACATTTTCTGCTGATACCAACCAGAGGCGTCATCATAGAGGAAGTCAAGCATGAGCTAGTTTGCTACGCTGACTGACAAGCTCTGCACTGACCTCATTGTCCCTGCAGAATATTACAGTTTAGAGCTTCATGCGCACAGCAGAAGAAGAAGTGTGTTTGTAGTATCCAAATAACAGGAGCAAGTTGGAATTATTTGCTATAATACATATAATACAGAATCTACTGTATGTAGAAGTAAAACTGACTTTCTCTGAACAAAGCTGTCCCCTTCACACCTTTGCAGTGCATTACTGCCCGCACGTTAACCAGTTGACATCCGCGGTGTTAAACCCCCTTCCCATCCAGGCCATTTTTCAGTATTCAGCGCTGCGGTACTTTGACTGACATTTATTCCGTCATGCAGCGCTGTACTGAAATGAATTTTATACCCTTTTTTGGGGACAGATAGAGCTTTCTTTTGGTGGTATTTATTCACCACTGGGGGTTTTATTTTTTTACTATATACGGGTCTTTTCTGCCCGTGCGTGCCCGCTAGGGGGCGCGCGCGAGCAGAAAAAAATTGCCGTCTGGAGACGGCAACCCGCAGATGCTGCAGTGCCGTCCGTCCGTTTTTTTACTACGGGCGGACGGCAAGAGGTTAACATGTATTATGTCATGCCTTGATATGAGTTGCGTTAAGAAAGCCTATTCATTTTAAATGGGCTGCTAAGACACCCCAGAGCACCAAAACCAGGACCTGACCCTTTTTCCCCGATGCAGAGCACCACAATGCATGGTAGTGCCTAACCATGTGATGCAGGGTGCTGCAAAGCCGGCCCATTACCGCAACGTTTTGGGGTGCCATTCAGAACAAAAATCACTGCAAAGCCTTAATGCATGCAAGCTGCTGTACGGTGCACTGTGGTAACGTGTGTTACCACAACGCAAAGGTGTGACGGGGCTTGTCTCCTGAAATACACAACACCTAAGAATATGCTCCGTTTTAGAGGTACCACCTTTGTAAAAGAAATGGGACAAAGGTAAATTACTGTGTAACTGCAGCCAAAACCATATGCCTAAGTTTTGGGTAGAGTGGGGAAGAACTAGAACGACTGTACGGTTTTCAATATGTCCACATTGGGTAGCTTTCTCCTCACATCCTGTCATGGTGACCACCAGGTTTGGCTGGGTCAGTCTTCCAAAAAAAGATATTTCAGGTTTGGGCGAATGCAATACACCCAGGTAAAACAGCCGCCACAACCACTAAATATCTGGATTCTCTGAGGAATATACAAAGCCAGCTCGTGATTAAACCCACCTTTGCCCATCCATCAGTGAAATATCAGTTCTGGATGGACTGATCCTTTAAATCAGCGGTCGCCAACCTTTTGGACCTCATGGACCACTAAATTTATCATTTTAAATCCCGCGGACCACTAATATGAATTTTTTTGAAATATAAATATATTACGTGTTTGTGTGTGTATATATTTTATATTTACACACACATATGAGAATATATTTATATATGAGGAAACAAAAAATATGAGAATATATCAATATATGCATACAGTATATATACACATACATACATACATAGGTGCGGGTGTGCCTGCAGGAGTGGCAGTGCCGGCGGAGGGAGGGAGCGGTGCCGCCCGTCCCGGCCCAGTAATAATATTAATTGTTTCCCCCCCTATCGAATCTGCTACTGGCCCTGCCGGCGGTGCCCGGGGCACATGCCCCCCCTAGCTTCATCACCGATGACCGCAGTCGCGGGCTTCGAATCACTGCAAACGGGCAGTGTGCGTGCGCACACCGGCCCGTTCGGCAATTGTTGAACAAGCAAGCCACTTTCAAGCCTGCTTGTTCGACGGAAGACGTGCGACCGTACAGTAGAAGCGGTCGCATGCCTTCCATACACTGTACGATTATCGTACGATCGTGGGATTTCCCGCGATTCTCGTACGAGAATCGTACCGTGTATGGGCACCTTTAGACTGATGGTGTGTATCCTAAAGGAGAACAAGGAGCAGGGCCTGTTAGGATGTTCTATTCATTGTCCCATCCTGGGGTATCTACAATATCTAAAAACTTTGATAACTAAAGAAAAAAACTCCCAAAATGCAAAATGTAGCAGCAAAGAAATCATTTATGTAAACCCCAACTTCAGCCAAAATGTTTTTCAAAGCTCCAGTATGAGATTAGATTTTCCTCCGACATTAGCAGACAAAACACCCCCAAATGTTCTAAATGAATCAATGCTGAACCAAAAATCATTTTCTTGTGGTAGTGATTTAAATTTTCTTTATGTCCAGCCACAAGGAGGGGGATCTTTAAGGCGCCCTACGTCACATCCCCCAGACCTTCAGCACAACTCACAGAACTACATGCCCATGATCCTTTGGGACTCTGGTCATGATAATGGGCAGGCACATGGCCAACAAGGATGCCAGAATAGCGATAGGTGGGGATCTTCAGAAAGGATTTCCGAGTTAGTACCTGACCAGCCCCTTGCATAAAGGAGACAGAAGTGGTGGCCGGTCGTGTGAAGTAGAAGTGTGGGGTCAGGAGTACAGTTTTACATAATTTGATGCTGAAGTAAGACACTGTGGAAGAAGGAAGAACAATTTTCAGGTAAGCCTTTCGAAGGCTTTTGCTAACATACCGTTACTCTTTTGCCTGAAGTTTAGCTTTACGTTCGGGTTGGAGTGTAGAAGGCTTAGAGTTAGAGATAAACCAATACTGTTTTTTCAGTATCGAGTACCGATATTTATCTTTCAGTACTCACCAATACCGAGTACCGATACCAGTACTTTCGTTAGCATGGAGCCAGCTTCCTGACCAATCAGGAAGCCGGGCTGCATGTCCCTGCCACCCTGCTTCTTGATTGGCCGGGAAGCTGGCTCCCTGTTGCCTAGCAGCACTGCCGGTCAGAGGAAATCTCCCGGCATCGGAGGGGGGGCGGGGGGGGGGAGTATTGGAGCATCTGGGCGAATACGAGTACTCACCCAAATACAATCTCAATACAACTTGTGAACTAAACATGAGATTGTAGTCCATCACTAGGAACGGTAACTACTTCAACACAGACAGGGACCATGGGGAACAAAAGTAGCCACCCTCCAGAAGGAAGGACGGAAGGACAGTGTCAGCACCAATTCAGAGATGATTTGAGGATCTACAGCCGAGTGATGCACAAATAAGATACATTTTGGTTAATAGTTAAGGTACTTGAATGTATTTTAAGATTTAACAGTTTAGTGTCACTTTAATGTTTGGGGAAAATGTCTCCACTTTCTTTTTTGACAGATGTTAGACAAAACAGGAAGTGAAAGAAAACCCCCCAATGAACACACTATCAGCTAGATAAACACATTTTCTAGTAAAGAAGGGTAAAGCCTCCGCCAGGATTGAACTGCTGTCTGTGAGATAAAACTTCCCTCAGTTCCTCTTCAGATGTCAGACAAGACAGGAATTGAAGAGATAGCATTAGAGAGGTTCTTACCTGTCCCCTTTCTACCAAAAACTATACAAAAAGATGTTTGGCTGGAGATACGCTTTACCCAAACCTTTATAAATACACCGTTATATATACTTATATAAACAAAATCATGTAAAATCATTTTCTACAAAGCAGTAGCCATCTTTGGCACACATAGAGGTCTATTTATATATATATATGTGTGTGTGTGTGTGTGTGTGTGTGTGCGTAGCTTTTTTGTGCAGCAAAACTGTGCAAATTAACCAGCTGTTGTGAGAATGGGCCAACATCGAATGTTCTTGGACTATTTTCTCTTCTGGTCGAATGTTCCTCAAATATATGAACAATAGTAAAAAAGGTTAATTCATTAGGAGCATAGAGTGAACGGGAAAAATAACGCATAATGGCCACTAGATGGAGCTGAGGATCAGAGGAAATAAATACATCTTAGTAACAAGAGATACAATCAGGGCCGGCCTTAGGGGTGTGCGAGCCGTGCGGCCGCACAGGGCGCCATGGCAAGAAGGGCGCCGTGCGGCCGTCACAGCTCGTCCTGTGGGCGGCTTCTCTCCCCCTCACCGCTGGCCATCCGATATGACAGCGCTCCCTCGTCCGCCCCCCC